TGTGTGTGTGTGTGTGTGTGTGTGTGTGTGTGTGTGTGTGTGTGTGTGTGTGTGTTGTGTATGTATGTATGTATGTATGTATGTATATATATATATATATATATATCTTTGCACGTGCAAATTTCTGTTGAGACGACCTCTGATAGGCTCAATGTTACTTACATAGACCAACTTTGAGATACTTCATTTGGAACGACTAAAATATATCTTCCATATTGTAGTATATGAATACTGTATGAACACCGCGATGATACATGTATAACCGCTGAACATAGTTCATACCGATATTGCATTGTATTTTGTTCCTGAAGCTGGATAGAGTTACTAATGATGCTGATGATTCCGCCATGATGTCAGTCGTATAATCACAAAGACTGATGCTTCCGATGCGTTGATTGTGTCCTTAACAGTTGCTATATATTTTGAAACCGATTATTGAAATTCTATAAGTACTCCACTACACACACAGGGAAGTTGTTTACTGCACTAAAAATATGAATGTACAGTGATATATACACTCTATATATTTTTTGTTTTATAAAAATAAAAACTCGCCATGTTGTGAGTACATATCGATAAACGAACGTTTTGATTGGTCTAGTATTTAATTTTCTGATTGGATTGAGAAATCTGTGAAATTCTCAAATACAGTGTCGTCATCAGAGTCTCAGTCTCTCAGACTGGTACTTGGTATATAGCCTCACTGAGCCTGGGCCCTGGGGTGGCCGTAGGTCGCAAATCGCAATGTCCGAACGAAGCGCACGTGCGATACTGATATATTTAATACAAATGTGTATAAATATATATAAATGGAGCTAAAAACTTTGTAGTATATTCACTATAAATGAATACGCAGAGGGCAGTATATATATTTATAAACTTCTAAGACTGTAGACTTCGAGAGAAAAGTATTCGAGGTGCATGTTAGTACCGCACGTCGTTTTGTGTAGTGACTAAATACACTGTACAATTCACAAACATACAATCCACCATTGAGCTATATAGGTTTTATTAAGCAAGCATCAGCCTGTCATTGTATAAGTTAGTTCTAAAAGCAAGCATATTCCAACCCGAACATAAGCCAAGATGCCACAAAAGGGAGTCTCAAAGGGCGGGGGTAAAGTGAAGAGTGCTGGGGCGCTTCGTCGTCAGGTGGGAAAGACACGCCCGGGTATGCGATCAGTGGCCGCCAAGAAGAATAAACACGTGCAAATTCGAGCATTAAATAAGGTAAGTAGATATGATACTATCGATCCGACTTTCGCTAATTTCTGTGCACATACAAGCTATTGGTATACCTATATAAGCCGGCATATATCTATTTATTTGTGCGAGTATATATACCGATAAGAAACAATATTAACATGCCAGGCATATATATATATATCTATATGTGTGTGTGTGTGTGCGTCTGTGTCTCTGATTCTGTGGTGTTGTATTGTTTTGTTTTGTGACAGTAATACAAGCAAAGGATGTTTAATTAATATCCATTTGGTTATGTACGCGCGTGGGTGTGTGTGTGTGTTCTTAGTAGATAAGTATGTATTCAATACTGCATGTGTATACGTATTATATCTTTTAGGTTTACTAGATATATTTTCATTCATATATACATGTTTGTGTGTGTGTTTCTGTGCGTTTGTGTGTGTGTATGTATTACGTGCATTGTTGAAAGTATGTGTCTACATGCAAAACACGCATATATGGCGTGACTGAATCACAATACTCGTATTTAGTCATTCTAAAATGTTGGTAAGCTATTTGTTATTTTATCAAACTAGTATTTACATATATTTATTTGTATGTATGTATATGGTGTCGTTTTTATTGATTTGTTAATTGTATATACGACGATATAAGTAGTTGTCTTCTCACAATAGCTGAAAATATCACCTTTATTTTGCCATGAATGCATATTAGTCGTAATTATACTTTGAACAAGTGTGGAAGTATACAGATTTATATTTGTATCATGATCATGATCGTAATAAGCAAACGTGTGTATATTCATGAGAAAAATATTGATTCATATTTATATATATATATAGCTATGTTGTATTTATATATAAATATGCCTATATATTTGTGTTTTATTACAGTTTCTATGGATATGTAGGTTTGTCTATATAAATATAGCCATGTATATTGTACTGCTATATTTATCTCTATGCGTATCTGGTGTTTGTTTAAATTTATCTCTATGTGTATTTATGCACGTATATACGTAGATTTTTATATACCTTTATTTTTTTTGCCTGCATGTATATAAATATATATGATTATTGACAGTTCTGTATATTCTTTGATCAATACTTTTAATTTGTTTGCCTGTAATATTGTATACGTCGCCCTACATTATCTGTTGATGTGTGTTTAGAGGAATATTGTCGATTTTACCTCTATTTTGGTGTGTGTGCCTCAAATGCTTTGCCAATCCATGCTGAGTTCGTTTTCATTCGGTGCAATTTTTGTTTATTTATAGTATATTCGTCCGTCGTATGCATTCTTTTATGATTTCTATGAATCCTTCAAATACTATCACGTATATGCAAACTTATATATATACATATATATAAATAGATGAGTTTGACGTCTTTCATGGTGTAGTCCGTGCCTCACAAATTCATAATCACGTCAGTGTTATGAAGTCAAAACTGATTGTGTATAGCTATATTTGAAGCCTGTCCCGATTGGTATACCATGACATATTTGTAGGTTACTCGGTTTTTAGATAGTCATATCACCCTACAGCGTTGCTGTACAAGACTTTAGCAAACCCAAGGCTGTGATGTTCGTTCATTGTTTTTAGTGCTAGTTCTTCAAGCATATGTGCATATTGAAGCAACTCCTTCCTCAGTCTGCTTGGTTCAAAACATAAAACTTATGCAGCGGGAGTTTCATTTACTCGATTATATACGATACTCACCAGACAACGTCTTTGCGCTCATTTTACCTTGCTTTATAAATCATGTCTTCTCAAAGCAACCCCTCATTTAGTTCGCGGTTTTCTTTTTTTTCTTTTTTTTGGTTAGCGTCTGCACGGAAAGTAGGGTTTTGCCTATTGTCCCAATTTCATTAAGCATAACATTGTTCACATGTTGGTGGTGAATTTATATGGTGAATCTAAGTTTTGTACAAAAATTGAATTTCTACCAATACTACATGTAGTACTTTTTAGTCTACTATTTGAAATCTATCGAAGGTGCCTGTTCAACATGGACCGCGCAAGAATTGCGATAGTTTAATCGCACTCACATGTTTCACACATCGACATGGTCATTCTCTACCTTTTCACAGAAATTCGAAAGTCAAAAACGCGTGGACATAGAAAATCAAATAGCTGCGAAGACGTCGGGATTCCAAAAGTGAGTGTTCATGTACAATGCTATACACGCTTGGAAGTACTGATTCACCTAAGTTAGGTTGATTTTACACTTCAGCCGATTTCTGACTTATCTGGCACGTGGTGGATTGTCACTTACGTTCAACTGATAGCATAGTGCCGGTGCGATTCATGGCAGATGAATTCTTAAACATCGTTATTGTATATTGTTCAAGTACTACAACACTTTTCCTTATGCCACACTATGTTACCACTTCACTTGCAATCACCGTTTATTCTGATGAAATAATAGTACAACCAGAGGGAGATAGTATTATATCGTGCCCTTTCAGTCAATAGACATGGCAAACCCTTCACTCATACTGGTTTTTTCCACGACTGATGATGTACTTCAACCTGTTCCTGATTAGGTTCCTGGTCGTCAAACCAGAGGGAGATAGTATTATATCGTGCCCTTTCAGTCAATAGACATGGCAAACCCTTCACTCATACTGGTTTTTTCCACGACTGATGATGTACTTCAACCTGTTCCTGATTAGGTTCCTGGTCGTCAAACCAGAGGAAGAAGAGAAGAAAGAAGACACCAAAAAGTTAAAGAAATTCACATATAAATCCGGAGTGTCGGGCAAGGCAAAGGCCGGATCAACTATACAACAGGAGAAGAAGAAGCGAAAATAGAATCCTAATTAGAAATATAAGATTAAAATATACATACTGTTTCAAAGACATAGCTTTAATAGTGCTTCTGGAAGAAATTGTAGTTTATCGCTCGATGCTTTACATTACGGCTTTGAATATATCATGCCGTGCGAATGGTACGATAAATTCAACCACGAATTCGGTGTAGAGCGTACACAGATGTACATTGTGAGTGTTTTAAACAAGGTAGCGACAAGTCATTGTCTAAAATATATGACATGTGGAGTATATCTCGATGCGCTACAATTCGGCGCTTCCAAATATTATATGTCATACGTATGAATGGAAAGATAAATTCAACTACTTAATCGCCTATTCGAGTACAGTATTCAGAGCGTACACAGATATATATTGTAGTGTGCTCCAAACAAGTAGTGGAATGTTCTTTGACCAATCTTCTCTTGGCAAGGTTCGTGGGGCGCAGCTCGCTAATGTATTCGTACCAAGTGCATGCTGGGTTTACTAACCTCTTGATGTATGTACCTTCCATGTGCTATATACTGATTTTCTGATTCATTGCCCTGGTTCCGTCATATCTTCCCCGAAACGCTATGAGTTATACGGTGCAGCGCAGAGCGTCACTCATCTATAGTGGCCTGACGGAGCGGTGATCGCAAAACAGCCCGTATTCCTGTTAGATTACCAAACAGTATAATCGTGCGCTTAGCTACTTCCGTGCACACCAAATTATAGTACTGCCGGAGCTCCAGCCAGCTAAGTTGATCGTGTCGTTTTCAGCGCCCTGTCTACAAGAAGTTGTAGCACATTCTTCTACCACGAAAGTAATGTGATGGGGTATCGCCAGCAACTGCTTCAATTATTTGATCTTGTATCCATTGTGTCAGACGAAGTCTATCATTCACGTCGTCCTTAAGGGCAGTACGTAGCATAAATTTAAGTTTCCTGTGTCGAACTTCGTTTGCGCCTGGGTCTGTGGCTTGTACAGAACACCCCATTTTACGCATATGTCCGAAAAGTATTTGATAGCAGACGTAATGTCTTGAATAAAATCGGTGTCATTGTCATGGAAAAATCAATGGATAGTGATCGACAAATATGAATGAGCATATTTCAGCCATTGTTTCGGGTAGTTTGTTCCTCGCCGGGTTATACCGTGAGGCTACATCGAACATGTGAAACATACAATTTTCATCATGCCGTCCGATCTCATCCATTGCAACAAGATCAATAATGATCCTGTGCATATGGCTCATATTCGAGCAACGCCTTCAAGAATACCCAGCCATAGCGCATAATTTGGTTCTTCACATACACCTCGAATTTCATGGACTCTTGTTTGCAGAGCTTAAATAGATTAGGGTTGATCAGACCTCTTCGCCTCGCTTCAGGGACCATTGTACAATAGTGAATACGTATAAATGGAAAGGAAGTATACCGCAGATTAATCCATCCAAATTGAATATTCGAGATGTTATAGTATGCTTCAAAGTAGGAAGACGCTATCGTAGGCAATAGGTGGTTCTCTAGAAAAATTTGTTTTCCACCAAAGGCAAAAAGAGAGCATTAGTGTATAATCAAATATTCAGAGCAAAATATTCTAATGTAAATAGGACAAGGTGAGTCCTCCAAGCCAGCCAAAAAAAAGTGTTCGTCTATACCTTGCATGTGGTGAAGAGCCAGGTACCATGTGATGGGGTTCTAGTTGCAGTGAAGTCACTACACCAGCCTTGTGTTTAAACTTCTGGATCTTATTTTCTTCAATTTAGAAATACTTTACTATGCCATAAACTACTATGACTGGGAAGCATGAATGTGGCCAATTGATGTCGTTTCAATCTGAGCTGTTGACAACTTGAAGTAAATCTAGATCGAAATAGTGAATTATAGAAGCGAAGCTATATAAACAAAGATCTCAGTATTCAATCTCTTTATTTTAACTAAAACCGAAGACTGAATTTATTTTCTTGATGTCTACCGGTTTACTTAAACTCCTATCATAGTACGAAATAGTCCTTCTGGTTATACGGGCTTTACACCGTAGCTTTTGCAGCAAAAGTCTGTCAAATAATGAAAATTAGATATCCGCTTAAGCATCTCTGTATTTGACCCTGTCTTCTCTATTTGACCCTGTCTGCAACGCGAGCTCTCAGACTTCAAGGTGAGTCGATGGACGAACATCCTCGTCGATTTGCGCTTAAGCGTTCTTCCTCTGTGTTGCTTGAAGCAGTCGTATCTAGATACGCTGTTTCTGAAACTTCGTGTTGATATACGTGACAATCGTTTACTAGCTTCATAAATCGGACGTAGACTTTTGGCGTGTCGCTTTCAAAGTTGAGTATTGTTCGTGTTCTAGCATTCTCTGTTACGCCTTTCATACTCGGTTGAAAGTTCAGCTAATTCCTTAGTCCTGCTACGATATAGTGCAGTCTCGCGTACTTTGTGCGACTTGTAAGTAATCTCTAAAGACGCATTCTAATGACAGTCTCAAAGGGTTTGCTGAATTCATACACATTATGTTGGAACATATGGAAAAGGATCAACGCGCTTGTGCCTTTACGGTCAAACCGACATATGATCGTATATAGCCAGGGATATTTTTTGTCGCCTGGGTACCCAAATATAAGAAGGTATAAACCCCTTTGTCGATATAAATCGGCTCATCTTGGATGATCGATTTTAGGTCGTTGAATATAGCGTTATGGTGGCTTTCCTTATACGACAAATAGCTGCCTTTTTAATTGCCAATGCGGGTCTGCACATGCGTTATGTTCTTTGAGGTGAATCTCATATGCATCACATTTAAGGTGACTTGAAGGGAACTTATAGTCTGGTGTCTATCTATTGGAAGTGTGGGTGTAGCTTTCAATCGGTAGCTCACAACAATTTTCGGACTGCCTTTTGAGAGTCTAGTATCATACGTGAGAGCATGTCTGGCAAATGGTTGTGCACAATGTGTTCTATTGCAAAATAGGACTGGCAGAGGCGATCATGCCAACTGCTTACCAGTTGCTTGTGCGGTTGTATATCGTTAAAATCTACCAGAGACTTCTGGTCATATGCCACTTAAAAGAAGGTATTATATAACTTTGAAGTGCTTTAAAGCAGATACTGTGACAACAAAGTCCTGCTTCACTGTGAGAAAATATCGATGTGAAGCGTTTGAATTCTTGGGAAAAAAACAAAATATACCACGGTTTTATTATAGACCACCTGATAGACTACATCTCTCAAAGCAATATCTGATGCGAATGGGGCTGCAAAATAAGGTATTCCGCCCGCAGATCAACGCATCACAGGACAGACTGTACAGGGATCATAACCTTTCTAAATGCGTCTTTGCATTCTGCTGACCATAGGTAATTCAGTTTTTCTTTGTGTAAACGCAGGTGTCCGAATGGCTTTATCATGTCTTCTAGATAGAGTACTCTATCCTAACCCCGCAAAGGCTTAACCCCACAAAGGCTGTAAACATCTTTACCTGTCGCGGGGGTACACCATTCTAGTAAAATTTGTGCATTTTCCAGGTGTATCACTATACCTTCTTCGGATATTACATATCCTATGAGTGGTACCTTGTCCACTCTCTGCTTTCTTTTTTCTTTTTTTTTGAAGTTGTGTGCGTTTGAATTTGCAAGTACTAGACGTACTATGTGTGTGGTATCCGTAAATATAACTTAATAAACAAAGTATACCCTTACTCGTGAGATATTGGCAAGCAGTCGTTCATGATCAGGTAAAGGTATGCTGTCAGCCTGTACAGCCAAAGTGTGCTATTCTGAACATCTACTGTTTGAACATATACTGCTTACCTTTCCATGCGAAAGAGTAATACTTTCGATGTTTCCGAAGTATTTCGAGTTAGTGATAGCCTTATGTAAGGCTCATCTTTGAGAATAACTTCGGCTCCTCCTGTGGAAAAGCGTAGAACCTTGCTTATAATTTTGTGTAGATATGATCTTATCGAAATTTCGCATCCAAGCCTACTCGAACTTTTTAGGAATTCCGTCAGTGTGGAACTGATATACTGCTAAGTGTGCCAAGTTAGAAAGTGTAGGTTTGCCGTCAACTTTGATCGCCATATTTTCTATCCAATTCTATTACATTTTCTGTGAGAAATAGTCTCTTGATGGCGTATTGAGTTGGATGAAGTCAACTTTCGAGAAGTCCAAACTTACGTAGCCGTTGTTGAACTTAAATTTCGCCCGCTGAGTGATCTGAATAGCTCAACTGTTGACCATTCAGTCGGTAATGCTTTACACGTGCTCATGAATTAATTTCCGTAATATGTGGGCGACTTAGGTGATTTCAATATATTGTCGTCGGATTGATCCTTCATAGATTCCATTTCGTTTGATAAATCTGTTATGTTGTACCAAAAGACAGTTACTCACTCATTTCTACTATATAGTCACTTTTCGAAGATCGTCGTATTGAACCACATACGGTGGTCTAGGGTTTTAGAGTTTAGGCCAATGTTTTCCTTCTCTTTTGCAAATATATCAGGCGAATCTTCCAGATTTACCTCAATATCAGGTATAAGTGCAAGACGATTTGATACACAAGAAATTTGTGAGCCAGGGTCTAAAGAGCATTTATCTTCATTTCATTTGTATATACTGGTAATATAACTCGTCCGTTCTCTTCCGCTTATATCCTTCCCGGCGTAGCCACCCTGTATCATGGCTTTTTCAGAGGCTCTGCCTCCTTAAGTGAACAAATGTAGGGTATGGACGCACACGAGTTCGAGTGAACCCCGTGGCCCTTGTTGCATTCGTCACAGGTGGTGCTTTTCTCGCAGGAGTCAACGTACTTCCCATGATGGTTCTCTGCCCTTCTGTTTGGTGTACAGTAGCGTTACAACTCGCGCACGCTGCACTTAGCTTTAAACCCACGATGAGACTTAGACTCATCGTTTAGCCGTATTTGGATCACATCTACAGTCAATGTGCGTTGCCGCGTTTTCACGTTACTGGTGTGAGAGGTAGGCTCCAAAGATTGCTTCCAAGTCGAGTGCTACTACTTAGTCCACCCGTCGCCCGTGTAGGCTTGTGTATACAAATAAGTCCCACGGCACGTTCGTCAACTTCAGGGGGTTTGCTGTTCAATATTCTGCTTCAGTCACTTATAACGCGTCTGTCTGACAGAGTTTGTTAAGCCTGTTGGCCGTCGTCAGAATGCAAGTCGTTAAAGATGTAGTAAAACTCCTTGATAGGACAAACCTGGTTAGGTTTAGGATAAACCTGATTAACAGGTTTTAGTTCCATACAATCACACATGGTAAGACTCTACGGAACTCACGTAAACAGTCAAATGACTTAATAAATATACCTGACAGAGGCTCACAGAGCCTCAGTAGTTTTTATGACCGTTTTTGACGTGTTTACTACATTTTCACGAATAGAATTTTTAGGTATTTTTATTTTCATAAATTTTATTTCGGTATTTTTATAGGTAAGTATTAATATATGAGAATAGAAAGCGTTAGTTCGTGCAAACGAATCACCCAATCTAATCAGGTCGTCTAAATAGATCGTCTGAAAGTGAAGAAATAGGATAACAAACAATTAATTCCTGGAATAGTGGGGATAATTAGTTCAAGATACCCATATTTGGCATATTAGTAGCATAAGAATTACCCAGCGACTGCACAAACAAAATAGGGTGAGTGCTAAACTAACACTGAAAGTAAGTATCAAATTTGGTACAAATGATATAGGCAAATTGTTGTGAGTACTGAGTACAAAGTAATACATAAGAACAACAAATAGAACACAAATGGGGTTCATGTTGTGTTATGAGAAAGTTTAAACTAAATGTATGTACGGATTAAGATAGTTTCTAGTGAAGAGAAGTAACATGTTGTGTGTGTTCACAGGTGCATTGAAGGCGGCCATGCGTATCAGGCTTGTTCGAGAAATTGTATACATTGAATGTAATATGGTGCAAGTCATGACAAGAATAGACACGTAGGTAAATGTTATAGTACCGATGAACAGGATGGTTAATGAATTGGTTATAAATTTATAAGTAACATTGTACAAATCGTGACAAGAATATATACATGGGACATGTGATAGGGTTTATGGCCATGAGACTCGTCCGCGAGCTTATGATACACAATCTATGTTATATTGGGCGTTATATTGAGTATATATACATAACCACTTGTTAGTATACCAGTTTACATACGAGTATAGATAAACATGGTGATGAGTACAGAACTTGCCCGCGAACATGTCACACACGTCTCGGCATTATTATACTTGTCATGACAAATGATATAACCTTGTCATCAGATACGTGCCTTAGTTAGTAGGATAGTACCGAACCTGAGTGTAATGAGAGAGTGATAGGAATAATAAATACATATATAAAATAGAAAGATATGTCTACAACGTGGTCATTGCATGTCTATGTGAATTGCACCATTGACAAAGGACAAGTGCTACGTATATGAAAGTAAGGTATATAGATACATGTGGAAACAGGGCACATGATTAGAAAATGGGTTGACGGACAAGTTATGGTGTGATGCACAAGGACGTGAGGATAACACAGCGTCCATAGTTCTCACATGATGTGCACCAACTAGGATGGCACGACATGGATGAAGACGAGTCGGATCAGACGAATGAAGCATATCATGAACTACAGGCAAACAAAATTTCAATGGTGGATAGTGTGACGATGTAACAAGCAATAGAAATAGGTTGTTTAATAATAAGACGAGTAAAAGTTAGATACAGAGAAATAGGAATGTATCGCGCACACGATAAGTATAGCGCTGGTCAGATAAAGACCGACAGGGCTTTCATTTCCTCGGAAGCTGTCACAGCCGAACTGATGAAATTGTTCGGAGAACATGGTTTCCCACGGAAGCTCCAATCGGATGAAGGGGGGAATTCTTCAACAAGATTGCACGGCTACTCACGCAAGAGGTGGGCATCATGCACGCAAAGTCACCACCGTACCGACCACAGGTTTTGGGAGCTGCAGAACGTAGACACAGAGACATCTACGAAGGGGTAAGGAAACTCTGCAAGTCGCTTCCCATAGCGTGGGACGTCAGACTGCCATTGATCATGCTCTGTCAGAATCTTCGCATCTCACGCAGGCACAAGACAGCCCCGTTCAGTGCTTACTTCGGAAGACGGCATGTTCCGTTCGCAGATTTTACCGACGATCTGCCAGATAGCCAGCCAGTCACCAATGGATAGGTTACACGATGCTATTCTGCCGATGTTACACAAGGTCACCCTCAAGTATACAGACTCACCGGCGAAGCAGTTCGATAGACTCCATGCGTACGACTTAATCACGTTCTAGGATGGTGAAGACGGAGGGCCGAACGACAAAGGCAATGCGACCAATGTTTGGTCCGTACGTGGTCAAGCAACAACAGGGTCAAGGATATATCCTGGCGAACAAAGACGGCACCACCCCAAGCACGTTCAAGGGCCAGCTGGTCAGAGTGGAACTGTTGCGCTTGGTACATAGAGCAACGGAACCATCCCTGGCGAACGAGATGTGGCAAGAACAGGGTTCGGCTTTCAGGCACATCATCCGACATCGCCAGAATGACCACACCGGCGTTATGGAGTACTTGGTTCAGTGGAAGGAAGGCAATCCCACATAGGAGACATCAGAAGTATTCGATGATCCAAATGACATTGCAGCATACCATAAGGCAGATCAAACTAGGAAGAAGAGAAGAGAGTTGTAGAATCCAGGTATGTAATAGCTTCGGACCCTACTAAACCTATTATATTAAATTTCTTATTGTTTCAACAATGAAGGCACAAGCCATTTTTGGGTCGGTTATACCCTAAAGTGTTTCTATTCTCCAGGCACCACGAATAGTCTCTTGCTCGAGCAGACTTAATTGCGAGCACCCCATCTCTAAGGTGATGAGCCAGCTTATGGGTCGTCTTCGACCTAAAATGTTCCCATAGGCAAGGCGTCCCGAGTGTGGTAAACGAACGCTTCAATAACTATACCGCAGCGTTCTCCCTCTGTAGAGAGGGAGACGTTGTTCATTTATTAGTAAATGTAAAATTAGTGACTCTAAAAATAAGTCATGTGCTGTAATAGTCAGCAAAACCCAAGTTTATCAGATTATCCTGATAAACAGTAAAAAAAATATAATAACTAAGATAAACAACTAAAGCCTACGTACTTGTATTCTGACCACACGAGTTCCGTTCCATAGCCAGTGTTCCGGTCGGCAAGGACCGTTATTCCAAGGTAATTACAATACGTTACGCACAGTTGCTTCAGGCACAGCTTTGATCCGCGACAGGCGGATATAATCTACTCAACATCAAAGACAATGATTTTCAAGGAATTTCATCTTTAGAGAAGCTCTCCCATCACCCGTGATGCTCAAGCTTGGGGGGGAGTGTAGTAAAACTCCTTGATAGGATAAAATTGGTTAGGTTTAGGATAAACCTGATTAGTAGGTTTTAGTTCCATAGAGTCGCACATGGTGAGACTCTACGGAACTCACGTAAACAGTCAAATGGTTTAATAAATATACCTGACCGAGGCTCACGGAGCCTCAGTAGGTTTTATGACCGTATTTGACATGTTTACTACAAAGATACAAAGCGATCTCTCCTTTCCAGCATGCTTGTCAGTGTTGGAATGCGCGCAAGCTGTGTATCAGCCCTTAAGATTTGTTGCAGCACTCGTCCGAATAACTCTTGAGGATTCTTTGGTATCATCAATTGGTCTTCTGCCTTGCGATAAACTCATACTAATTTTCGTTAGCGTTTACAGACTTCTGTAGAGCGCTGAAGTACTCCAATAACGGTGGCCTCGTGTCACTTCAGGTGTCCCTCATGAGTGTTGTCGACTATAAAGCCGTATGGAATTCGTGAAGTTTGCCTATTCCCAGGCAAAGATATGGCTAGTTTACTCTCGGCTCTTTCACGTTCCTCGAGGTATTTGGATCAGAGGGTTGCTACTTTTACTACCATAACCGGTAGTTGTTTTGGTTCTTGGGTGAGTGTAGAAATCCAACCACCTCACATGTATTTGGCATGCACCGAATTCCCGTTCCTTTCAAACGCATCCTTACATTAAAGGAATAT